TCGCTACAGTTTACGCATGCGAGATACATGGCAAGGGCTGACGAATACGACCTGAACATCCCATCGCAATTACAATACGCATGGTCCTCATCTTCCTTTTTTGTCCCAACACTAGAGTCGTGCTTTTGTCTCGTCTCGAGAAGGGGGGAGTGTGGATAATCTGGTTAAACCAGTTACATGTTTCAGGTGTCCCAGTTGTACGAACATCATGCACGTCACGTAAAAATCATGAATCACAAGTCCAAAATTGTCTGGCTACATACCATGGAGGCGAGCTAGTCGTCGTCCAGTCGACAATACACCACCAGCCACACAACGCAACCCAACCACCCAGCAACTCTAGGTGGTCCCCCCTGTCGCATACCCCAATCGCCGATCATCTGCGCCAACCCAAACGTGGCTCACTAAGCCCTTTGGTTGAATACCCTTCTTACCTCATTCGTTGCGGAATACAATACAGAGCAGAACCGTAATTAGCCCAGCCACCCCATTTGAAGGTCGCAACCCAGCAGCCTACTGCTTACCTTTACCCTTCCCAAGTTCCCACCGAGGCATACGCCAACACCCAATCACACATGCAGGCAGCGCACACGAAGGAAGCGCGGAAGACCGCGTCGGGCGCGTCGTCGGCTTTTGCGGGGCTACGCTGTCTCTCTGCCTGGGGTTGGGTGTGTGAGAGAAGGAGCAAGGATCATGCAGCTGGCAAGAGGCGGGGTGAAGGGCTGCGTGTGGCTGGCTGGCTGGGTCGTTCCTTGTTCGGAAGGGTTCTTCTCCTTCTTCGTCTTTGTTCCTTCTTATCAGCGGTGTAGATGTGGGTGGACTGATCTGAGGCCGTTGAGGACAAGGGAGAGGACGAGGCGGTAAGTCTAATTCATGGTGGCGGTGAAGACGGAAGATGTAGGTACGATGTGTCGACGACGCTCTACCAGAACAATGGAGAGCGCCCGGTCGGATTCTACACATGGTCTTCTGTTGATCAAGTTTGCAATTTGTCACAACCCTTCCTGGCAGCTGCATTGGCTATCGTGAGCTCAAGTACTATAGCTTGATTTTGATTCGTTCACAGTCGCTGTCTAATTGCATATTTGGCACTTTAGCGAACAGTCGAAAGCATGAGTGTACACCATGTCAATGTTGAATGCATCTGATTATTCGCCTATGTGATCATGCCACAAACGCAAGTGCATCCTATGGGTGCCTAACTGAAGGTTCGGTCTTGAAATGCCGATAGCCGAACGATGTGCTGCTGTGCAACTCTGCAGTAAACAAAAAACGTAGAAAAGAGCATAGAATACAGTCACTATAAAATTTGCGTGAACAAGGGTAAACCGAAAAGGGCGCAAGGTACAAAGCGCGTGCGGTAATAGGTTTTGCGCCGAGGGGTAGTTGGGGAATAAGGACAAACGTAAGAAACGTATGCAATGATGCAAAGGGTATGTCGGATGTGACATGAAATCTTGCCATAAATCCGTGATGGGGCACGGTCTCACAACGCTTCCATAAACGCCATGCTTTTCAAAATGTAAATGAACAAGAGAGAGTGATGCCAGTCGGTCGCATCAACACATCAGCAACTGTGTAGTGTACCAAAGGTTTTATAGTCTTGTCGGGTATCGTGAGGTCATATCCAAGCGGTTGCTGGGAACAGATGGTGATGTATGTCATGTGCTGACGTGGACGGTCACGAGATGAGTTCACCGCCGAGGTCCATGCCAAGGCCTTCTACCTTTCCGATGCGCTCCATGTGTGAATTGTCACCGTTTGGAGGCAGGATAGTATCGAAGTTGAGATTACGTCGTGCTTCTCGCACGGCAGCAGGTGTTCTAGTTGCGACAGGTGTGCGGTTCCATGATGCGTTGGCCTGGGCAGGACTGGGCGACATGTTCAAAAACTCTGCAAAGTTCAGGGTGGTCGAGGGTGTTGCCAGCCCGAAGCCAGCGTAGTGGGAGCCGCCACCACCGGGTGTAGACATCATAGATGAAGGGAGGGGTGTAGCTTTGGGCGGAGGGGTCGACGGTGCGAGCATCTGCGGCCTCTGGTGGCCTGGGCGAACGGGTGTAGGAGACGTGGCTAGGTACATCAACAGGTTTGCATCGTTGCCGCCCTGTTTGCCTTCCCGGGCTGCACCAGCAGCATTGAATCCGCGTTGTCGTAAACGAGCTGAGCGAGCGACATCAGGGGGCGGTGTGCGTGGGGCTCTCGGCGGCGAGGACTGAAAGTGCGATCTGTTGAGCGAAAAGGATGTAATGGGCAAGTCTTCGTCGTCATCTTCGGAGAGCAAGGGTGAGTGAAGGTGATGATCGGCTATGGTCGATGTTTCAGAAACAAAGGATAAGCTCGGGACGTGCTGACGGCCAAATCGAGCATGTCTGCGATGGTAAACAGGCGACGATTCGGGTAGCTGGAAGCTGTTCTTCCACGAGGTGGCGGCAGCGGTGGCTGTTCTTACTTTGACGCGGGCGTGGTTGCTAGATGCTGGCTGTTTGCTGCGGTCGTAGCGTGGCCGCTTGCTCTCGCCGCCGTAGATGCTCCCCGACCGGCTGACGGAGCGGCGGACCTGGTCTGAGAAGATGGGGGCTTGGAGCGGAGAGGAGTCGAGGACGCTGGGTTGATAGAAGCGCTCAGAGACGCTCGAGACATCGGACATGGCCTCGTTGCTAGAGCCGGGTCGCTTGCGCTTGCGTTCGGCACCGTCGAGAACGGGCTCAATGGCATCCAGGCTGAGGCTCTCCCAGCCATTCTTCATCTTGACGTTGGCCAGTGCGAGGCGGTTTTGCAGTGTCCTCGTCATCTGTGCAGCACAAAGTTAGCATACATGCAACGGCCCTGGGACGGTACAGAGGGCAAAGGGAGACGGACCTTTGAAACGTGGGCCCTTCGCAGGACCTTGGTCGCAACTTCATCCTGTTCAGCCATGGTGGAGCAAGAGGTTGCAAAGGCAACAAGCAACAGCGGGATGGGTGTGGCCTGACGTCTGTCTCACGATGGTAGTTACTGGTACTGCTCCAGCAGCATTTGGGCGGAGCGGAGGTGAGGGCCGGGAAGGAATGTGAGGAGACGGTTGTTTGCGGACTAGCTCAAAACGAGCGGTGGGTGGCACAGGCCGGCCAGGTCAGAGAGTCAGGGCTTGGAAGGAGTGGAAGGAGTGAAGTCGAGCTTGTGGGCTTGCAGGCTTGTCTGGCTCCCGTCCGGCGCTGGAGTCATGGCCAGGCACTGCACTGTAACAAGCAAATTGCTGTCGACGGTTTGGCGAGCGACAGGGGCGGGGGTCCGGTCATGGCTGTGGTAGCGCATGCTGAGTAAGGGGTTAGTGGGTACTGTATTGTACAGATTATGTACGTATGTACG